GGACCCCGTCCGACCTCCCGCTGCGGACCCCGTCCGAACTCCGCAGTGGACCGCGTCCGACCTCCCGCAGCGGACCCCGTCCGAACTCCGGCGGCGGACCGAGCTTCTACGACCGTGAGGTGAGGGAGGGGAGGGGAACAACAACTGTGGTTTTGGGAGGGAGGGAGTGAGAAGGTGGTCGACGGAGGAGGTGGTCTGGTGGCTAGGGTGGCTGGCGCGGAGGTTGTTTGTGGTGGCCGACGGCGGCGACTTCACAAGTGGCCGGCGGCCATGTTTTGGAGGGAGCAGAGAGTTGGGTTGGGGATAGATTAGGTTTAGGGTTTAAATTAGACAAGTGCAATTTCGTCATATTTTTTCTAATTATGGGCGGCAAATAGTAAAAACACGGGCGGCAAATAGCGATTCATATTAGGTACTGCAGCTACTGACATGATCGAGATGAAGGGACCGAAGTCTGGCTTTTAACTTGTTGGCTTGTTCCAGTCCACAAGTTGTCCACCCGCTGATTGACCGGACCCATTCAAGCTAGTTCGAGCTAGTGGGTCAAGGATTAACAGTCACCCGTTTTAGCCCGGAAATATGAAAATAGTCATTATATTGAACTTATCCTGATAAATTATATCAAATCTCATCTAACATATGAGTAATAACATATAACATTACACTAAAGTAACATGTCGTACTTAGATCCAACATATAGTGAAAATTCACACACACTTACATAACATCGATATTCAAATGTTCAACTAAGGATTCCAAAAATTGAGTTAGGCGACAAGAAAAATCGAAAAATAGGCGCATTTCGCAAACCAAAGAAAAAAATGACACAATTTGATCTCCGACCCTATACTTTGTAGCGGTCGACCCGACGGGCACGTGCGACCCGTTTTTCTCAGCGGATCAGGGTCAAAGTGGGTCGACTTGAGGGTCAACCCGCTGGTTGACAACCTTGCCACAAACACACACAACAAAGCTGATATATGAGGCCGAGCATGTTACATCATAATCAGATTACTAAACGTGAGTTCCACAAAATAACGAGTGTTTTGTGTGTAGGATTAAATATGCCAATGTGAGGGGGCATGATTGAACATCGATGAAGGCAGACTTGTAGTTAATTAATAGTAGCTTTATCCCCGACCAGTTGGTCGGGAGAGTTTCGATTTATCATTTTTAACGATATATTAATTGTATGTATCAACTATTTTAAATCTTCTCAAATTATATCTTTAATTCATTATTCGAAAAATAATTTCGATTCTCTCGACAACTAGTAGTCACAAACATTACTTTCAGTGATAAATCAAAATTTCACTAATGTCTCACAAAAAATACTTTCGATCATGTATTAGATTGTCACTAATGCATATTATTCTTACAATGCAAAGACGTCACAAATATTGTCAGAAGTGGCAAAAACATTCGTCATGAAAGAGTGTTTTCATGAAGAAAAAAATGTCACCATAGCCAAACGTGTAATATGACAATCACTTTTTTTTTTGGCAAAGACAATATATTAGCCATAACTATTAAGCAGCGGGAAATTATAGCCACAACTATCGAAATACAAATTATTAGCCAATCGTTAAGTTTTCGTTAACACTTCTGTTAGTAATGATGACTAAGCTTTTACGATGCTGAGCTGACTCCCACGTGACAGTCATCATATAATATTTTTTACTAATGCTGACATGGCCTTCTCCGTTAAAAATTTGAAAACAGTAACAGCTGTTAGCCAAATCTTGACCCGCAACAATAGTTATGGCTAATAATTTGTATTTCGATAGTTGTGGACATAATTCCCCGCTACTTAATAGTTGTGGCTAATATATGGTATTTACCCTCTTTTTTTGTAGTTGTCACCAATGTAGTTTCCGTAGTAACAACAATCATGTCACATAAACCTTCTTTTGTGATAAAAGCATGACCCGAAAGGCGAATCACTTGTGACAACTTAAAGTGTTACGGTTGATATACATTTGGTGACGACACAAGCTCGTCACAAGCGTAAAGTATTTGTTACAACCAGAAAGGTGTCCCAATTGAGTGAGATAAAGCTTATACATGTTAATATGTTAGGTATAAGCTGTGAAAAAACGTTGCGTTGAAAGTTTTGCCTAAAATTGTGTTACATATAGGGTATACATATGCAACACATTTTTATAGTTACAAAAAATGCTGAAAGCATTACATATTATCGTATACATCACCAGCTATGGTCTATAGAAGCGTTACATATTATCATATATGCAACACTTTCAACACTTCTTGCAACACTTTTCACGTGTTGACAAAAGACCAAAATGTTTGAAGTAGTAGTGTTTAAAGAGGATGGCATCCCCTTCCCCTATCACTTGTCAAAAACCATACAATTTCAAAACAAGCAACCTTAAAAAAAAAATGGCGCTAGAGATCAACAGTACTCCTATTGCTCCAAAGAAGAAGCTCCACATCGCAGTGTTTCCATGGCTGGCCTTCGGTCACATGATACCATTCCACCACCTCGCCAACCTCCTCGCCGCACAGGGTCACCGCATCTCCTTCCTCTCCACTCCTCGAAACATCCAAAACCCCTCCCAATCTCTCACATTCTTTCAATTTCGTCCCCCTCCAGCTCCAGGGTAAGGCGGGAAGCTCAGCGGAAGAAGACGTTGAGCTGCTGCCGGAGGGATTCGAGGACAGAATCCAGGCGAAGGGAATTGGGCTCGTACACACGGGCTGGGCCCCGCAGGTGCAAATCCTGGCCCACGGATCCGTAGGCGGGTTCCTGACCCACTGCGGGTGGGGCTCCGTAGTGGAAGCGCTCCGGTTCGGCCGGCCGCTGATATTGCTGCCGATCCACGTCGTCGATCAGGGCCTGATCGCCCGGACGTTCGCCGAGCGAGGCGCCGGAGTCGAGGTCGCGAGGGACGAGGAAGACGGGTACTATTCCGGAAGTTCCGTCGCCGAATCGGTGCTGGCGGTGATGGGGGAGAAATCCGGGAGGCGGTACAGGGACAAAGCGGAGGAGATGAGGGCGGCGGTGTTCGGAAATACGGAGGTTCAGGATCGCTGCTTCCGTGGGTTCGTTTCGTTTCTGGAAAATTATAGCCGAAAAAAATAATGTATGACGTTGGAGTGTACGTACTTGGGATTGTCGTGATCGATTAATTAATGTTCTACTCTACTCTTCGACTTTTCGCATCTCCCTTTTCCATCCTTCACTCTCTTTCAGGTTACGGATTGATCATGAAAATTAATTAAATGATATTTCAAAAGCATAAAATGAAGGAACGTGTTGTAGAAAAAAATGTATAAAAGGTTTTTTTTTAAATATAGATCTTTTTGATTTTTATTTACTGTAGAGTTCATAATCAAATAATATATTCTATAAAGATACGAAACTGTTATGTAAAAATATCAACGTTAAAAAAAAAAATGTTAAACATCTTTTATATTATTTTATTCCTTCTAATCTCTTCTCTCTCCCAGCGGTTATAGAGGTAGGTAACTGTTATGTAAAAATATAAACGTTTTTTTGAAAATGTTAAACATCTTTTATATTATTTTATATTAAAATATTATGTTAGTTGAGTATTACTTTTTTTTTTTGACGGAGTTAGTTGAGTATTACTTAGTAGATGTATCGGAGTTAGAAACTAATGATTTGAAAAAAATTATACTCTATCTTATTGATTAATAGATGTTTAAGGATCTTACGATTTGAGTCGTATTAAGAATGATTGTATCTTTGTTGACTTAATGATATGGTAGGTCTGTTTAGCGTTATAATTGAAAATTTAAATGTAAAGTCTTTGGTATAATGATGTTGGATGTACAAGGTGGGTATTACCCATGGGTATCGAAACCCACGGGTATGGGGATGGATTTGCAAAACCATCTCCGCATGGGTATGAGGCAGGTACATGTTTGGATACTTAAAAGCGAGGATGAGAATGGTTTAGACAAACCCGCCTCATTGCTATCTATGTTTACTGCATAAAATTAATTAAACTTGCTTTTGAGTTTTAAATTTCATTTATAAAAGATAAATAAATGCACTCATATCCATGATCCATGGAACCGTATCGGAAAAGTCAACGGTAGGTCTTTTATGGCAAAACCGTGGTTTAACCATAGTTCAATCGTTAAATACTGCCTATCCATTTAACCTCCGATACTGGTATTTTGTAGTTGAACCGCCAATACATACGGTTTCATGGACCATGCTCATATCCTTAGGGATGAAAAATAGATAGGGGGTGGGTATCTCAATACACATACTTTCCCCACATCAAGTTTGGGTCAAGTCGCGTAATACCCGCACTGTCAAAATTAGCGACTCATGCCCCACCCTAAGCTACTGCGGGTCGGGTAATACCCACTCTAGTGCGGGTCAGGTCGGGTACACAAAATTTGTTGTAGTCTTTTGAACACAAAACATATACGAAGTTAAACTTTGAAAACCAAAGGACTTTTTCATTATGATTAGCTAGTCCACTGAGTCTCCTGTAAATATTTCTATGGTGCTTGATATATCAATTTTCATAGTGAGTTTAATGTAACTTTTTCCATTTTAAAATTTCTACTCTCTCCTAAATTTTTGCTAAAGGTAAATTGGTAATTGGCTAACATGGTAGAAACTATTTTTTTACTGCGCGTTGTATTCTTGCATTTTTTTAATTTAAAACTTTTTTGCGCTTTTTTATCTTTGTTCTTATCCCTTCCTAAGTTCTTATGAAATTCCCTTCATAGTGCAATAGTTTGCTCCTTTTCACTTCCCAGTACAAGGTAGGGGTGTTCAAACAGAGTCGTTACCGTGGTAACCGTTTTAACCAGTAGTATTTGGATAATTTGGTTTGGTTAGTTTGGATAATTGTTTTGGTTTGGTTAAACATTTTAGCTTGTTTGGTTTGGTTTTAGACACTCCTAACCAGCCAGACCAAATTAACCAGTTAAGTAATTAGCCATATATCTAATATATATTATTATATATACATGCTTAATAATTTGCACAACCACTCAAGAGTCAAATGTTCCTCCCTTTAAGACACATGAAAACTAAAGCTCAATATTGTTCATATACTGTATATTTGTATTTGTAGAGTGTAGATCACAACATATGGACGCCTAATTTAGATAAAAATCATACATAATGTTTTTGTCTGGACGGTGACAAAACACGTACAACGTCTAGAAGAGTTACTTGCACTTATTGAAAACCAAACCTGGGAGTTAGTTAAGCTACCTCCAGGGAAGAAGGCAATTGGATGTAGGTGGGTATACAAAATTAAACTCAAACCAGATGGAAGTGTTGAAAGATTCAAGGCCAGATTAGTGGCAAAGGGTTTTACTCAAGTTTATGGAGTTGATTTTCTGGATACCTTCTCACCAGTTGCCAAGAACAATTCAGTCAAAACACTGCTTGCAGTTGCTGCAGCAAAGAACTGGTGTTTACATCAGTTAGATGTTTCTAATGCATTTTTGCATGGGGACTTGGAAGAAGATGTGTACATGCAGTTGCCATCAGGATTTCCAGTGGATGAAGGTTCTGAGGGCATGGTTTGTAAACTCAAGAAGTCATTATATGGCTTGAAACAAGCCAGTAGGCAGTGGTTTGCCAAGCTTACTGGATCTCTTTTGAAGAATAGATTCTCACAGTCCTCATCTGATTATTCTATGTTTGTTAAGAGGGTTCAGGGAAGGATTGTGATTGTCCTAGTCTATGTTGATGACATAATACTTGCAGGTCCCAGATTAGGTGATTTGGAGGCAGTCAAGTTGTTCCTGAAAAGGGATTTTAAGATCAAGGATCTTGGAAGTTTGAAATACTTCCTGGGATTGGAAGTGACAAGGAATTCTAGTGGGATTTCAGTCTCACAAAGAAAGTATTGCATGGATTTGCTTGCAGAAACAGGGTTATTGGATGCTAAGAGTTGTAAAAGTCCTCTTGACTGCAAGGTCAAATTGAGTGCAACTAAAGGAACACTGCTGCCAGATCCAAGTGTGTACAAGAGACTGGTAGGCAGATTACACTATTTGACAGTGACCAGACCAGACATTGCTTTTCTAGTTCAGCAGCTGTGTCAATACCAAATACAACCAAGAGACACTCATTTACAGGCTGCTTACAGAGTTTTGAGATATTTGAAGGGAGCACCAGGTCAGGGTTTGCATTTTAAATCAAACAATGACCTGGTTTTGAAGGCTTATAGTGATGCTGATTGTGCAGCATGTCCTGATACAAGGAGATCCATTTCTGGTTACTGCACTTTCCTAGGTGGATCTCTGATTGCATGGAGAGCAAAGAAGCAAACTACAGTGTCTAGGTCTTCGTCTGAAGCTGAGTATAGAGCATTAGCTCATCTTGTGTGTGAGATACAGTGGCTCAAAGGGCTGCTTGCAGAACTGGATGTGAAGATTCAAACACCAGTCCTGGTTTATTGTGATAACATGTCTGCAATTCAGATTGCAGAAAACCCAGTTTATCATGAGAGGACAAAACACATCGAAATCGATGTTCATGTTACTAGAGAAAGGATCAAGTCTGGACTTATCAAATTGAAGTTTGTAAGAAGTGAAGATCAACTTGCTGATTTGTTTACTAAAGGCCTAAGTCGATACAGGTTAAGTTACTTGTTGGACAAGTTGGGCGTATTAAACATATACGCGCCAACTTGTGGGGGCGTGATGAAGTTCAAGGGCATCGTTGATTTGAATCAACAAGAAGAAGAAGTCCAGAATTCCAAAGGAAAGCAGAAACTGATGTTTGCAGAAGAAGAAGAACGTTGGAGTTGAAGTTCTTGGAGAAGAAACGTTTCATGTTGGAAACGTCTGAGCTGAACGCAGCGTTTGGTTTTGTTATTGATGTTAGTTATTTACAGAACAATAGAATAGTGACACCTAGCTTTGTTACCGTTATGTTACAGTAAAATTGGAACACTATAAATCAAAGAATCCCAGCAACGAGACAAGCTGAGGAATTCCCACTTTCTTCTTCCTCCTTACTCTTTGCTCAAATCAAACCCTTCTTCAGAAAGTTTCACTCCCAATTAACATATGGAAAGCGGCAGGATCCTCATAAACTTTATTATTATAGCTTGCATTTGATCATGATTTGAAAAAACCATAAAGGTTATAAGGCAATGGTCCCCTGATGTTGCAGCTGATCATAACAAAGTGATCCCACACTTGTCTTGCAAACGTGCAATAATGTAGAAGGATGTGATTTTACAGATTCACAATCCTTGCAGCATAATGCACATCTATTGACTAAACTTATATCCATCTTTATCCAGTTTAATTCACATTTCAGTCGAGTGTACGTGGAGAACTAGTCAACTTAGTAGCCCAATAAAATATATGTATGTTGAAGGAGTCCGGAAGCAATTCATTAGGACGGACACTTGAACTTTTTTTGGTCGGAACTAGTCAACTTATTAGCCCCATAAAATAATTCGTACTCCAACAAGAGATACCAACGCACATGCATGCCAATTCGCTGGAAACAATATGCAATCGTTCGTATGGCATCTCTTCGATCGGAAACATACGATAAAATTAAACGATACATACAAGATTAATATGGTCAGTCATTGTACAAAAATGAAACGCATAATATATAAAAACCGCCATATCCCATATTAGGGGTGGCTATACGGTCCGGTTAAAATGGCCCAAATTGATCCGGTCCAGTCCGGTCTCTTTGAAAATATAAGGACCGAAGATTGGATTGGATACAGTCCGGTCTTGATCCGGTCCGGTTTTGATCCGGTCCGGTCCCAATTCGGTCTTGATTTTACATTGAGATTGTGGGATTTGAGTGGCCTAAGGCCTTAAAGGGTGAGGAGTTGGTTAAGTTTTGTACTAAGTGCAAAGGTTTGTGACCGTTTATGCAAATTACTCTTAAGTTTTAGGTGTTGAGCTCTCTTATCCGGTTTTTTACCTCACATCTAAGCCCAAATATTGGATTGGATTGTTTACTATCCGGTCCCGGTCCGGTCTCTGTCCGGGTTATATGGTCCAATTTCCGGTTTTTAATCCGGTCCCGGTCCAAATAGCCACCCCTATCCCATATCGGCAATAAATAAGCCTATGTCCAGAATTCCAAACCATTCATCCCTCCAACAATATAATCTACATTGCAAATCTCAATCACTTCACCAGTTTCTTCGTAGCTCAACAACATGGCCGCAACTAAAACCGCCGTCTTTCTTCCTCTCCTGTTGACGCTACTATTGGCAGCATTTTTATCGTCCTTGGCCGCTGCAGAATCCCAAACCTCCTTTGCCACAAGGAAGCTGCGTACGATGAAGAAGAAAGAAAAGCTGACCCAACACCGGCGCGGGCCCCGACCCCACGCTCCTCGTCGTCGCCCCGGTCGTCGAGAACGCCACGTACTACGGCATGGTCACACTCAACGACGATAAGCTGACGCTGGGCCCGGACCCAGATAATAATTCAACGTCCGTCGGGAAAGCCCGTGGGCTGTACCATTTCCCTTCCAACACGACCAGCTTCGTCTACGAGATGATATACAGCTTCGCCTTCACTTACGGAGACTACAACGGCAGCTCCCTCTCCCTTATGGGTTCCGTCTTCCCGCCACCGTCGGGAGCCGCCAGCGAGCTCTCCGTCGCCGGCGGCACGGGCGTGTTCCGATTCGCTCGTGGGTACGCCGTCTTGAACTATGTCTCGTTTGATCCGCTACGTAGGATGGTCGTCAACGAGCTCGACGTCTACGTTTCCCATTACTAGGTTGGGCATCCAAATTAAATCAGCCGAGGCATATATATATATATATATATATATATATATATATATATATATATATATATATATGTTACGGGGAAATCATTACTATATGTGTATTTGTACCCGTTTATGTGTGCTTATTTATTCAATTCTCAATAGTACTAATTAATTGATAAAATGTTGTATTGTTTTCCTATTTACATATATGTCCTCCTGTTTACCGAGAGAAAAATAAATTAATCTTTCTTATCTTATCTTAAAATATATTAAAGCAGTTTAGAAAATCAACCCTCTCCACGGGGCTAAGATCAGGTGACTCACATGGCTAAGTGAATCTCAGCCACTCAACCTCATTAAAATCCAAGGGCTCCTATTAATTCTATTTAATGAAGGACAATGCAGTAATTACATGTTTATTTAATTTTCAATTATAAAAGAAATAAAAAATTTAACCCGTCCCCGTCCCTTTGCGTTGCCTGCCGTCTCCGTCCCAATTAATTACGCCGCCTCCGTCGGCAATTCCTGGGAGAGATGAAGCCTGGGCGCCATTAATTCCAGGGCATTAATTCCAGGGCCCAAAAGATGAAGCGCCATTATTCCAGGAGGGAGGGCGCCATTATTCAGAGAGAGAGAGAGAGAGAGAGAGAGAGAGAGAGAGAGAGAGAGAGAGAGAGAGAGAGAGAGAGAGAGAGAGAGAGAGAGAGAGAGAGAGAGAGAGAGAGAGAGAGAGAGAGAGAGAGAGAGAGAGAGAGAGAGAGTTCTTGTCAACTTTTCCGGCGACGGCGGAGCAGTTTTCCGGCGACCAGAGACGGTGGTGGATGATTTTCCGGCAACAGTATTGAGTTCATGATGTTTGTAATGTTTATATTACTATTTTGTATACATTGTAATGTTTGTAATGTTTGTTTGTCTAGTTTGTATACTTTATGTTATGATTTATACACTTTCTATTCATTGATTTGTATTTGTAACTTTTGTTATTCAAGTTTGTATACTTTTATGTTATGATTTGTATACTTTGTATTCATTTGTTTGTAATACAAGTTTACCAATCTGTATTGTAAGTAGTGATATTATGTACGTGTAGTATGCTTTGTAATGTTTGTAATGTTTGTTTGCAATGTTTGTAATGTTTGTTATTTTGTAATGTTTGTTGGTTTCTTTTGTATTGTTTGTAATGTTTGTTATTTTTGTCCACATGTTTGTCATTTTTGTCAACCATGTTTGTAATGTTTTTTTAATCACAAATCAATACATGTAATGTTTATATTACTATTTTGTATACATTGTAATGTTTGTAATGTTTGTTTGTCTAGTTTGTATACTTTATGTTATGATTTATACACTTTCTATTCATTGATTTGTATTTGTAACTTTTGTTATTCAAGTTTGTATACTTTTATGTTATGATTTGTATACTTTGTATTCATTTGTTTGTAATACAAGTTTACCAATCTGTATTGTAAGTAGTGATATTCTGTACGTGTAGTATGCTTTGTAATGTTTGTTTCAATGTTTGTTATTTTGTAATGTTTGTAATGTTTGTTGGTTTCTTTTGTATTGTTTGTAATGTTTGTTATTTTTGTCCACATGTTTGTCATTTTTGTCAACCATGTTTGTAATGTTTTTTTAATCACAAATCAATACATATAAAGTATACAAATTATTAGTACTTACAATACAAAGCGACGTGATTTGCAGCACAAATCAATACATATAAAGTATACAAATTAATATTACAAAACATACAAACTATACAAACCATACTGACATTTTGTACAAAAATACTAACAATACAAACTAATGTTACAAAACATACAAACTATACAAATCACTGTTCTTCCTTCAGACGATGTCTCTCCACCGCCGCCGCCGCCGCCGACTCTCTCTACAGCCGTCGTTACCTCTGTTTTCCCGGCAACAGATCTACTTTCTCTCTCTTCCACCGCCTCCGTCGCGATCGTCTTTCCCTCTCTCCATCGTCGCCGACGCGGTTGAGATCTCCTCGCCGTCGCCCCCCTCTCTTCCACCGTCGACGTCCTTCTCTTCCCGCTGCTGCTTTTCTCTCTCTCTCCTATGGCCTGCAATGGCGACGCAGAAGAGGATGACTGGAGGAAAAATCGCGATCTCCTTTTCCTCTCTCCACCGTCGTCGGCGCCGTCGAGATCGTCGACTTTCTCTTTCTCTCTCTCATCCGCCGGCGTTGCGATCTGTTTCCGCCGCCGTCGTTGAAATCGCGCATCTCTATCCCCTCTCTCTCTCTCTGTGAACGTGAAAGAAGGAGACGGTTGGAGAGGAAGGAAAAAATAAAATAAAACTGAAATTAAGAATTAATGAATTTATGATAATGCCAAAAATACCCTTTTCATTTAATAATAATTGAACACTTTATCTGGACCATTAGATTAATCTAAAGGCTGAGGGGGGCTTAGCCAAGTGACTAAGCACCCCCCCTTAGTCACCAGATCCGGACTCCTCTCCACGTCAGCCTCGCTGGCTTCTCCGCTCTTCTCGGTGATTACTGAATTTTCATTTTCTTTTAATGTTTCCCTCTTCCGAACGGTTTCTTTTGATCTTTTTGTTCTTTTCTTTTAATTTTGTTTCTCTTCTCCGTTTGCTAACTGCCAATTATTTGGACAGGGCTTCTTTCCTTTTAAGAATTTTGCTTCCACAGTGCGACCCCTTTTCTTTGTTTTTTTTTTCTCTCCCTTTCTTTTGGTTCCGTGAGAGATGAGAGAGAAATTGTTGGATAATTTATTAATATTTTTTTATGATAATTAGTTAATCATAATTATAATGATTTACTCATTCAAATAATAATAATATATTTTCTAAATTATTCTAATAAATATTTGTGTTACCAAGTACCGAGTGAACTTTCTACAAAACTTAGCCTATCCACATAAGTCAAAGAACCTTTCCATCCCCTCAAAATTTTCTCTCATGCACATAATCTCGCTCATTCTCAACACTTGACAATTTTTTTATAACATCATTTTTATTTAAAGACTCAATCTAACTTTCTTCGAGATTTCTAATCTACCACATCAGTTGGATTTTCACTTGCTAGATGTCTGTTGTTAAATAACTCTTAACTCTAGACGGTAGGATTAAGCATCGTATGCAATTCCATAAATTGACTAAAGTATAAGTTGCAAGATAATATGATATGCCCACCATATTTTTCTTTGAATCATCATTAAGATGAATGCACATTCCACTATTTACTGAAAAATGAGATGCATGTTTTCTCTCCTTTTTAGGTATCTCAAGGAGGTGAGTTTTGTGTTCTAATTTAATAAGAGATATTAAAAACTTTTGATGAATCTATTTGACGTTTTTTACAGATTATCTATGTGATTTTAGAAAATTTGTTACTTTAATAAAAAGATTATACATATACATAATAAACGAAAAAGCTACATGCCCAAAGGGCAGGGGTTGAAGCTAGTATCATAATGATGGAATTTAAACCTTGGTTGTGATTTGTAATGCCAACTGCCTATGTCAATCACGACCTCAACCGAGGGCAGTGTAGGCACCTCCACTCCTTCAAAGTCTCCTAAATATCAAACAATAAGAAAGGCCCATTGTATGCAGCATCCAGGCCCGCATGGCCCAAAATGAAGTACCATTCCTTTAAATCATACAATCGATACGAAGTCGTAGGCAAAAAAGGGCATTCCGAACCACAAGATGTGCTACCCTTTGGCTAATCCGATCTACAAATCGAACATGAAAACAACTATTCGGAGCCATCATACGTAGAACAGGTGGGTTAGATCCGTTGGCCTAGTTGAACAGGTGGGTTGAGGGTTAGAAGTCCGATCATTTTAGCCCGGTTTGATTCGGATATATGAAAAAAATTATACAATTGTTCATACATTTATAAACCATATAAAATCTCAGCTAAAAAATTGGTAATAACATTTAACATTACAACAAAATAACAGTTCGTAGTTAGATCCAAAATATAGTGAAAATTCAAACACACACATATAACATCAGTATTCAAAAGTTCAACTCAGAATTTCAAATATAGCATTAGGCGAGGTGAAAATCAGAAAAGAGACCCAATTGGTAAACCAAAGAAGAAGAAGACGTTGTGTGACCTTCAACCGTTAAAACCTTACTACGGGTCGAACCGAGGATGTGGCAATCTTTTTCCTCACATGATCAGCGTTAATTCACGTCAACTGAAACGTCAACCTGCGGGTCGACAACCTTTAACTTAGAGCTAATGGGTGGTTCCACTCCCGTCGATAGAATCCTACTATGTTACCATGAGGATCCACTAGATGAATCCCATCCTCCCTGACGAGCCACGAAACATCATGACCGTGAAGGTAGTCAGCTGACCCCTCATATGCGTTGAAAGCAAGACGTCTATCTCGCACGGCCAGCTTGCACCAATAGAGCGTCTTCCCAAAAACATCCTGCTCGAAACTCCATTCAAAACGAGAACCCACATCAACGAGGTTGGCTCCAAAGTCGTCGTCTTTGGATCGACAATGAACAATCAGGTTTCTCCCTCTCAACTCGTTTTCAACAGAAACAATCATGTGCTGGATCGAGGGACGTGCCTGCAGAATCATTACGGCCGCCACAACCGGCCGCTGCCACTCGCCACATCGTGAAGAGCAGAATCCTTTTACTCTCTCTCTCTCTATTGTTTCCATTCTTTTTGGAGTTTTGGTTGCTCTTATAGTGCACGAAGAAGCAATATGGTGTACGGAGAGAAGAAGGGTTTGCCTTTCCTTGCACGTGCAAAACGCGCAGAGGCGGTTCGTTGGATGCATGCATGGGGTTGGAGTACGTAGAAGAGTCTTATGGACCTCTGGCTCCTATTTATGATTGATTCCTTCTCCCATCTTATATGTTTTTTTTTGTTTTTGTTTGATATCATGTATTGTTCCTTTAGATACCATATTAATACGATTGAGGGTGGAAAAAAACATGTCAATTTTCCGGTTATGAAAATCCCTAAATTACCGGCAACAACAAGGATAGAAGGAATCAATTCCTTGACTTGGACGTATTAAGCAATTCCTTCACTTGTTTAGACATATTGGTTGAGATCAGACTTTAGGCGCTACACATCAGGTTGCAACTCCGGTTGAGCAGAATTATCAACTGCGTTGTTACGCCTCGTCACCAGTTTCTAATCATGCTGTCTTTTTCGGATGTCACTTATGTAGTCGATCTTCTTAGTTAGCGAGTTCAGTCATCGCCACAGACTCACGTCGATACGATTAATTGTGTTCTCTATTTCAAATTCTATTGTAATTAATGAGGTATCTGATCTACTTTATAAAGAGTAATGGAGATTCAAACATACAACAAACTTTAATTTCAAGAGTTAAAACTTAAAAGTCTACCACTAAAACTTAGGGCTGAAAATTTGCCTGTCCCGTCCCTGTCCCTGTCTGACCCGTCCCTGAAGGGTCAAGATGTATAACCGTCTCGTCCCGTCCCTGTCTCCTTCTTGACCCTGTCTGATCCTCAAGGGTTGGGACGGGACGGGACGGGCCGGGTCAGTGGGTCGACCCTAATCAACACACTACTTTTTTACAAATTACATTTTGGTACCCAAAATTATTTTTTCTTACAATTTAATACCTAAATTTTAATTTTTTTACAAATAAGTCCATAAATTTTGATGGTAAAATTACGTTTTGGTACCCAAATTTTTTTATTTTTACAAATTAGTACCTAAACTTTTAAAACTTTACAAAAAGGTCCAACGAAGTATGAGATATTTATTGTTGCTAAGGGTCACAGGGTCAAAACGTGACCCGTCCCTAAGTTGTCCCGACCCGTCCCGACCCTTATAGGGGTCAACAAATGGCCCGTCCCTAATCTGTCCCTGTAGACAAACTGACTCGTCCTGACCCTTAGAGACGGGACGGGTCGGGACGGGTCATTGGGTCTTCCAGGACAAGCTTTCACCCCTACTAAAACTAGGGGGATCGGAGGTAACTCTCGTTGGTGGTCCGAACGGAATGCTAAGGAATTTGGAGCTACATGCTACAGGCTATTTGACTTAATGTCTTTCGCCGTCGCCATTTGTATACACCGACGGCCATTTGATTCCTGAACTTTCCCTAAAGGCTAAACTAGAAGATCCTTATCGTCATTCAGGGCCACCGAATATACGGCCCCAATTGGCTAGACACATGCAACCGCTCCCATGGCAATGGCATCTCTTCGCCGACATTTGATAAAGTGCATCATACCATACGTACAGAGAATATTAGCAATGGCAAAACCGCCCCCATGGCTACTTCTATATATATTCTAGCTTAGTTTCCCGATGGGCCTATACTATAAATAAGCCTATTTCCACAGTTCCAAAATCCAAACCCTTCATCTCTCCAATCTCCAGCTTCTTCCTAAGTCAACACTATGGCCGCAACTAAATCCTTCTTTCTTCCTCTCGTGGCGACCCTCGCCGCTTTACTATTGGCCGCAGCAGAATCCCAAACCTCCTTCTCAACAAAGAAGCAGCTGCTTACGATGAAGAAGCAGAAGCTGACCCACCTCCACTTCTACTGGTCCAACTTCCGTAGTGGGCCCGAAGCCACGGCCCTGATCGTCGCCCCGATCCTCGACAACGCCACTTTCTATGGGACCGTGGCCCTGAACGACGATATGCTGACATTGGGCCCGGACCCGGATGATTCGACGTCGGTGGGGAAAGCCCGTGGGCTTTATCATTTCCCTTCCGATACGACGGACTTGGTTTACGAGATGATATACAGCTTCGCCTTCACTTACGGAGGCTACAACGGCAGCTCCCTCTCCCTTTTGGGTTCCGTCTTCCCGACATCGAAAACCGCCAGCGAGCTCTCGGTCGCCGGCGGCACGGGCGTTTTCCGCTTCGCTCGTGGATACGCCGTCATGAACTTTTTGTCTTTTGATCCCGTACGTAGCTTGATCCTCAACGAGCTTGACGTCTACGTTTTGCATTACTAGGTTGTGCATCCAAATCAGCCAACACTTTTATATGCTACAGGAATTTATTGTTATTGTTGTTGTTTTTATGTTTCTTCGATCTTTTCATTGCATGAAGTTATGTGTTTGTCTGCTTATTTTTTAGTTTCAATAGTATTCTAATTATGTATTGTTTTTTTCCTATTTATTATGTGTTAAAAGGTTGAAGAATCCGTTGGGCTCAATCAGTACGATGAAAGTCTATTTTCTATGTTAAAGCGAAATGATGGCTAAAAGCGGACGCAAAAGCGACCTAATATGGTAGGGTGTACGTGCTATGGTTGATTTTAAAGCATACTGCACCAGACCAAACCAACATTGCTACCAGATCAAACCAATCGAATATAATGCAATTCGATCCACGGTCCTATGAATTTATATATACTGAAGAAAAATGAGTTTGATTGATATCTAGATCGAACCAAACCGAGTACATTGGACCGAATAAAATATTGTTTCATTTTGGTCCTAATATCTTTTTTTTACTTTTGGATTACTCAATTTTCGTTTCGGTCTTGTTCAAACTAGACCAATGCACACCGCTACAACATTGTCCTAATACCCATATATCAAAGACCTAAAGAAGCGATTTAAAAGTTAGCTGTTATATTTTTACTAGGATTGAGGCTTTTACTTGGGCTTTTGGTGCAAAAGGTTTTTTGAACAAAAAGCTACAGTATTTGAGAAATCTAAAGCGTAAAAGCATAGGTTTTTAGATTTTAAAGCTAGCTTTTAACTGCATTGCTCATAATAATTCGAGTTGTTGGGAAATGTTGAATTATGGATCATATATCATTAACTAAGACATCCCTTAAAACAAAAGTCGACACATATAAGTTTGAAATTTGCAGAGATCAGGATACCATGTGTTTAACATAACATACGTGGTCATCATAATTCGAACTGAAGACCTCTCGGGCACATGCAAAAGGCTGTGATACCTTATCAAGAACTAGTTGATCCCAATAACTCAAGTTGTTGAAAGTTGTTCAATTATGGATTATATATCATTTACTAACAACACACACCTCAAACGACAGCCAACTCAGAAGGGCTTGAAATTTGCACATGTTCGAATACTTTGTGCATAACATAAAAAATGAGGGTCATCAGTATTCAAACAGAAGACCTCTCGGTCACATAAGCCACTGATACCACATGTCAAGTTTTATCCTTTTCTTTACGAAGTAGCCATCAGAGTAGTTTCTGAAGCTCTCACTGAAATTCTATAAGAGTAGTTTATATATTTTCAAATGTAGGATCCACACGGGAGCTAAGTTTGAGAAGTTCAATAACTTTTATCATCAAACTCGAAGCGTATTTATGCTCTTTGAATATCTATGACTCTATCGTTGGAGGCAAGACTTGGTTCATTCGGTTGAGGAGGCAATGAATTAGGGGGGAGAAAGAGCCATTTGGTTGGAGCTTCAATCGGAATTCCGAAATAGACAATTACATAAATTACGTATTCAAATTAGGACGACGTTTAGTAACTTTCTTAGAAGGAAATTTTAGCAATTCAGTAATCGAAATCCGGATGCACCACAACAAGAAAACAAAACCGGCAGACGAGCTAGTGTCATCGAAAAATAATCCTTCTCCACTTGTGTCGGGCAATTGGTTCTGGAGAATTCATCAAAACCGCCAGATGAGCTCCATCATCCATCACAACCCAATCAACAAAATTTCCACCAATATCGTCACCTGAATAACCTGATCGATCGAATACAGTGAAAGAAAGACGTCTATCTTCGAATGTTGATATAACTTGAATCGGATTATCAACCGCTACGACTGGTAATCGGGAGTCTGGTCTGTAACCGTTTCCTTTGCCAGATTGGATTAGGTTTAGACCCACATGGAGAAGTACTATAAATACTTCTCATACTCCTCTGTAATCTGTAATCTCCTTGATATAGTGAAACTGGCTCTCTCTCGCCCGTGGACGTAGCTAGGGGTGGGCAACGGGACGGGACGGGATACCCGTCCCATTTTAGACGGGTACCCAGTCCCATTTGGAGACCAAAGTCCATCCCATATCCCAAACCCATATGGGAAACGGGTACCCATTACCCGTACGGGACGGATAACGGGTACCCATACTACCCATAAATACCCAAAGTTTAAATGACATTTTACCTAAAGACAATTAGTCAATTACATCCAAAGCATTCATTTCAAAACACAAAATGGCTGCACAAGTAGCAACTTACACCAATTCCTACAACCCAAAGAAGGGATGATGATGAAGATGAAAAGGAATCAAGGAAGGGGAAAGGACCAAATAATAAAACCCAGAAGAAGAAACCTGCTACTGCTGCTGCTGCGCTGGGTGAGAAGAAGGGAGAGCTCAGAGGCGGCGGCGGCGGTGAATGAAGGAGGCGCCGAGGCCGATGCGAGCTAGGTTTCGACCTTTCGTCTCTTCTCTCTCGTCCCGCGAAGACGATTCCTCTAGCCAGGGACAAGACACAAGACAAAAACAGACCTTTCCAAATTCCAGAGAAGCTGCCGCTTGCCGTCGCGTGTCTCACGTCTTCTAGGGCCTAGGGGTGCGTCAGCGTCTCAACTCTCACGGGCTGAATTAAATGGATTTTGTAATTTTAATGGATTTTGAATTGGGTTGGGCCTGGGCGCATGGACTGAATTATATGTCTTTGTAATTTGAATGGGTACAACGGGTACCCATATTACCCAAACGGGTATTCGCGGGTAACCCGCGGGTACCCATATTAGGACTGTACAATCCCAAGTCCCATCCGTTTAAAATATTACGGGTAATATGGGTACCCGTAACCCTTAAAAAACGGGACGGGTACGGGTATACCCAAATACCCGTTTCCCGTTGCCCACCCCTAGACGTAGCTAACACACATCGTGTTAGTGAACCACGTAAATCGTGTGTCTGTGTTTTCGATTCTCGCTTTCGTATTCTTGCTTTGCCGATTCCAGCGATTTCCCGATCCGTAGCAGCGCGTTCATAACAAGTGGTATCAGAGCCGCGGCTGGAAATCAGGCTAGGGTTTTCGATTTAGAAGAATGACGTCGGTGAACATGAAGATCGAAAAGTTCACGGGGAAGAACAGTTTCGCTATATGGCAGATCAAGATGCAGGCTTTATTAAAACAGCAAGGGCTGTGGGGGCCGGTGTCTGCGAAATAGAAGAAGGCACCGGTCAATGACGATGAGTGGAATACCCTGGAGGAGAAGGCCCACTCGACCATCATGCTATCGTTGTCTGATGACGTCATCATTGACAGGTCCACAGCCAGGTGATGCTTGTCACAACTGTAAGGAAGTGGGGCATTGGAAGTACAACTGTCCCAAGAGAAGAAGGCAACAGAAGAAACAAGGTTCAGTTGCCTTGGCAGAAGTGGACAACAGTTCTGAAGACGATCTCGCCTTGGCTGTAGATGAGAAGGCACATCGTGGGGATGTGTGGTTTCTGGATACTGCAGCCTCATACCATATGTCTCCGAACAGGGATTGCTTCACAACCTACGAGCAGATAGATGGTGGTAACGTGGTCATGGCTAATGGAGCTGTCTGCAAGGTTGTTGGAATCGGGTCCATAAAGGTTCGGACACATGATGGTTCGTTCTGTACCATGAATGATGTCAGGCATGTTCCACGAATGACAAAGAACCTGATCTCCTTGAGTCTACTCGACAGCAAGGGTTTCAGTTTCAAAGGAAAAGGTGGAGTTGTGTATGTCTGCAAAGGTTCAAGGATGGTGCTGAAGGGCGTGAAGCGTGGGACCTTGTATGCATTACAAGGGTCTGTGTTGTCTGGTTCTGCTGCCGTTGCATCGTCTCAGGTTCATCAGGAAGATATGACCACTCTCTGGCACATGAGACTGGGGCATATGAGTGAACGGGAGATGCAAGTTCTGTCGAAGAGGGATCTTCTTTGCAGGCACAGGATGCAGAATTTGGAATTCTGCGAGCATTGTGTGTTTGGGAAGCTACATCGCAGCAAGTTTCCCAAGAAGGGTATCCACCGGACGAAGGGGATACTGGATTACCTCCACTCCGACTGTTGGGGTCCTTCACGAGTTGAATCCATTGGAGGCAGCAGGTATTTTCTGTCTATTATTGATGATTATTCGAGATTTACTTGGATTTTCATGATGAAGCAGAAAAGTGAGGCTTTCACGAAGTTCAAGCAGTGGAAGACATTGGTGGAGAATCAGACCGGGAAGAAGATCAAGAAGCTGCGAACGGACAATGGTCTAGAGTTCTGTAATTCTGAGTTCAACGAATTCTGCAAGGATGAAGGGATTGCCCGTCATCGGACTGTGAGAGATACACCCCAGCAGAATGACGTTGCAGAAAGGATGCACCAGACATTGTTGGAGAGAGCCCGGTGCATGCTCTCTAATGCTGGACTAGAGAGAAGATTCTGGGCAGAAGCAGTGAACATGACATGCTTCCTGATCAACCGTGGACCTCACACAGGTATCGAGTTGAAGACTCCTTATGAGGTGTGGTATGGTAAGCCTGCAGATTACTCTTCACTGAAAGTTTTTGGGTGTCCTGTTTATTATCATGTGGATGAGGGTAAACTGAACCCAAGGGAAAAGAAGGGTGTTTTTGTGGGTTACGGAGATGGAGTTAAGGGATTTCGAGTCTGGTCACCTTCTGAGCATTGAGTTATACTCAGTAGAAATGTGATATTTGATGAGAAGTCTATGTTTAACCCCATGTTGAAGGTTACTGTTGTTGAAGGTAGCAGGAATGTTGATAAGCAGGCGGAGCTGCAAACTCTCAATGAGAGTGAGTTTGAGCACCAAGGTGGAGAAGATCAACATGATGAGGATGTCTCTGCAGAGCCAGAAACTTCAGAGTCTAGTGCACGAGTTCAACAGTCTATGGCTTCCGGTAGACCGAAGAGAGTGACTGCCGGAGTACCTCCACAGAGGTATGGTTTCGAGGACATGGTGGCGTATTCATTTCAGGTTGCTGAAGAAGTGGATGCAGGAGAGCCACAGTCCTATAGAGAATCCGTTTTGGGTGGCGAAGCTGATCAGTGGCTTGCCGCAATGGGAGATGAGATGGAATCCCATGACAGGAATCAGACTTGGGAGCTAGTCAAACGACCACAGGGAAGGAAGATTGTTACAAACAAGTGGGTCTACAAGAAGAAGGAAGGAATCACTTCTAAAGCGGGCATGAAATTTAAAGCTCGGGCGGTTGCACTAGGCTTCTCGCAGAGGGAAAGAGTTGACTACAATGAGATTTTTTCACCAGTGGTCAGACATAATTCGATCAGAGTGCTACTAGCAATAGTGGCACATGATGACTTGAAGCTCGAGCAGCTAGACGTGAAGACAGCTTTCCTACATGGAGAGTTGGAGGAAGAAATTTACATGACTCAGCCAGAAGGATTCGAGGTTCCTGGAAAAGAAGACTATGTTTGTAAGCTGAAGAAGTCCTTGTATGGAATTAAGCAGTCTCCGAGGCAGTGGTACAAGAGATTTGACAGTTACATGCTTGAGCTGGGCTATAGCAGAAGTCCATATGATTGTTGTGTGTATCACAACAAGGTGGAGGATGGTTCGATAATCTATCTTGTTCTGTATGTGGATGATATGCTCATAGCTGCGAGGTCGAAGTCTGATATCCAGAAGTTAAAGGGGCTTCTCAGTGCTGAGTTTGAGATGAAGGATTTGGGAGCTGCTTAGAAGATCTTGGGTATGGAGATTTACAGGGACAGGTCGAAGAAGAAGCTTTTCTTGTCACAGAAGAGCTACATCCAGAAGATACTGTCGAGGTTTGGCATGTCTTCGGCAAAGCCCTTAAATACTCCTAGTGCTTCAAATGTTCATCTATCCTCAGCTTATGCACCACAGTCGGAGGCTGAGAAGGAGTACATGTCGAGAGTCCCATATGCTAGTGCAGTAGGTAGCTTGATGTACGCTATGGTATGCACTAGACCTGATCTTGCACATGCTGTTAGTGTTGTCAGCAGGTTTATGATACAACCTGGGAAGGAGCATTGGCAGGCTGTGAAGAGGATCTTCCGGTACCTTAAGGGTACACCTGATGTGGGGATTAGTTTCGAAAGTGATACAGAGTGCTTGGTGTCTGGGTATTCTGACTCGGACTATGCTGGAGATGTTGACACGAGGAGATCGATGACCGGTTATGTATTCACTCTTGGGAGTTCTGTAGTGAGCTGGAAGGCAACTTTGCAGCCGGCGGTGACATTGTCTACTACTGAGGCAGAGTATATGGCGTTGACAGAAGCTGCTAAGGAGGGAATATGGTTGAAGGGATTGGTTGGTGATCTTGGTCTACATCATGATCAGGCAGTGGTGTATTGCGACAGTTTGAGTGCAATATGCTTGGCCAAGGATCAAGTCCACCATGAGAGGACTAAGCACATCGATGTGAGGTATCATTTCTTGAGGACTGAGAAGAGGATTAAGGTGAAGAAGGTTGGCACCGCGGATAATCCTGCTGATATGTTCACGAAGCCGGTTCCGCATGGCAAGTTCCAACACTGCTTGGACTTGCTGAATGTCTTGAGTTGGTGACTCCGCCCTGCGGGGCATTGATGGCGGGAGAGAGAGATAGAAGGAGCAGAGTACATCAGAGATTTCAGAGGAAGAGGATTCAAGTCAAGGTGGAGATTTGTTGATATAACTTGAATCGGATTATCAGCCTCTACGACTGGTAATCGGGGGTCTGGGCCTGGTCTGTAACCGTTTCCTTTGCCAGATTGGATTAGGTTTAGACCCACATGGAGAAGTACTATAAATACTTCTCATACTCCTCTGTAATCTGTAATCTCCTTGATATAGTGAAACTGGCTCTCTCTCGCCCGTGGACGTAGCTAACACACATCGTGTTAGTGAACCACGTAAATCGTGTGTCTGTGTTTTCGATTCTCGCTTTCGTATTCTTGCTTTGTCAATTCCAGCGATTTCCCGATCCGTAGCAGCGCGTTCATAACATCTACCGCCAGCTTGCACCAAAACAGCGTGCCTCAATGAATTGTGCGCCAATATCATCATCTTTGGATCGACAATGGGCTATCAACCTTTTCCCGCTCAACGCATTCTTGATATCAACCTTTGTAGACTCCGCCTGAGAGGAGGGAACTTCCACAATTAATATTGAAAAAGCTGCCAAAAAGTAGCTTCCTCATCGTGATGATCAATTTGATCGGCGGGAATCGATCGTATCTCTTTGATCTCCATTTCTACTTCTTTGATATAGTGCACCCAAGGAACGTATGAGCATCACAGAGTAGCTAGCTAAGAGGGGCTTCCTGCTGTTTTATGAATGATTCGCCCATCTATTTTTGTTTTTGTTTTTGTTGCCATTCTACTTTTGCCGGCCTGGCTTTATTACTTTTAAGTAGGGTGGTTATACGGTTCGGTGCGGTTAAATTGACCCAAATTAATCTGGTTCTAGTCCATTTTTTTTCCAGGAATATAAGGATCAAAGATTGGATTTGATGCAGTGCGGTCTTGACCCGGTCCGGTCTCAATTCGGTCTTGATTTTAGATTGAACTTGTGGAAATTTGAGTGGCCCGAGGCCTTAAAGGGTGATTTTTATCTGGACGGTTTGGGGTGTTGAACTTTGAGTAGAAGAGTATTAGGTTTATGAAGGGAAGTGGTAGGGGAAGAAATGTTGTTTGGATTTGGTAGCAAGGAAGAGAAGAGGGAAATGGTGAGGGTAGTGATCGAATTGAGGAGAGCATTGAAAGACATGGAAGCAAAATTGGAGTAGTTGAAGAGAGAGACGTAAGAGATGATGAGCATATTAATGAAAATGGAGATGAGCATATTGATGAAATTGGAGATGAGAGTTGGTTTTACTGAGCTTATTACAACAGCCTCTAAGAAAGACGAGTTGTCCAAATGCAAGAAGAGGATTGAGGACTTTAAGAGCGAGTTGATAAGAACCTCAATTGGAAGAGAAATTGACGCCCACATAAAGAAGGTCCATCAAAGTAGTAGAAATAGAGTTGTAGGAGGAGGATTAGAAAGTGAATTTTGTGTTGAATCAGATGGCTCTTGAGATTGAAAATAAAAGGGAATAAAAGGTTGATTGTACAACGGAGAGTGGTGGCTACTGGATATTTAGGTTTATGGTTGTTGCAACTGCCACAACCTATGTCTATATATCTTAAAATGAGGAATCATTCATTGATTTACGAAAGTTAAGGTCGATTGTCTATTCAAGCTACTGGAACTGGTAGATAAGGAGTGTCTAATTTTGTGTCTTATTACTTTGATCGAGTCTATTAGTATATTAGATGCATCCCTAATTTTGTCATTTGCTCTCAAGTTTTGATAGTTCCCTTTAAGTTGAGTTGTTAGTATATGGTTGACTTGAATCAACAACTTTTTTTATTAGTGACATGTTGTTCCTAAAAGGAGAGCATTGAACCCTTTATGTAGGATTGTGAGGTTTTAGATTTAGTTTTCAATTATCTATGGGTCGTGTGGGAATTCCAATAAACTTTTATACTCTATCTTTCTTGACAATCAATTAACCAATAACATTTTAACGGGGGCTTAGTTATCAGTATAAAATGAAATTAAGGATACATTTTTATATATTTTATATTGTTAAATGATGATGGTATTTCTTCAAATGTTCTGACCTATACATTCATTCTTTATGTACCATCTTGATTGAAGGATTGTCAATAAATTTAAACGGAATGATAAAATTAAACATAGCACAAAAATATAAATACTCAAATATGAACATTTCGGTCAACTGGTCGGGTTATAAGCTGGTACTCGTCTAAGGCAATGGAACTTTCAAGTTCGGATTTGACCCTTAAAGTTCGTGGGGGCCCACGAATTCATTGCTCCTAATTACTTTAATCAAACAATGAATTGGACAAAGTCCAATATAGATCCAAATGACCAAATCCATCATCAAATCTCTCTAGCAAACAACAGGGTTTTTTCCTAAACACACACGTTCTTAAAAAAAATTCCAAAATACAAACGTTATAAACAATTTCCCAATCTACACATGTTTGAACAAGACTATTGTCGTCAAACGCGGGGAAAACATCACCTCCTTTGTCAAAGGCGGTGAAATATTTTTGAACTATCACTGCGTTTGTCGAAAGGGGTGAATAGGTCACCGCTAACCTGTGACGCAATGAGGCATAATATCTGTGAAAAAACCAAAATTCGCGCCTCACCGCATCCGATGGCTGCAGTTAACAGTCAGAGCGACATGGATCGTTGTGGTCCACGTCGCCTCGCCTGTGAACCGCGCCAGTTGGATGGAGTGAAGCACGGATTCTGAGTTTTCCTCCCAGATCCGACGCCTCACAACGCCCACGCAACTATCCTTGTCATTCACCATCCTCAACTAACGTTGTGAATTCCCTTGCATCCGACGGCCACAATGACTTCGCTGGAGTGGACGGCTGCAATGACTTCATTGTGGTTGTCTTCAACGGTCTCCTCCTCCTATAAATTCAGTTCTCCCCTCCCCATTTCAACTACACTACCACACTTCACAATTCTTTCTCCCTCCCTTCTTCCACTCTAGGAATTTCGATTATGGTCTGTGGTTGCGGTTAAGGCCGATCCTCCATAACTTAATAAATTCATTGATATATTTCCTACAACCCTCCTCTCTAAAAACCCGTTGAACCTCCATACAGCTTTCGTCAAAAAATGGACGAAGAGGCTCTTAGGGTAATGTACTCACTTGCTTTTCCTTTTGTGATTTATTGTTTGTAATCGAAATAATATGATTTCATTCGATTTTTTTTTGTAGATGGGTGCCAATATATACGATACTTGATTGTATTTTGATCCCTAGCTAAGGTAGTTGTGATCTAATTATTCACCTACGAGGGCTGGAAAACGTGAGAAATATTCACCTCTTTTGTCAAAAGCGGTGAATACTTAACCACGTTCGAAAATAGCGATGAACAATTCTCTGTTTTAGAAGACAACGGAGAAGATTCACTGCGTTAGAGTAAATCAATTTTATGTTCACCTCTTTAAAGGAAAGCAATTTCATTTTCACTGCTTTGGAGAAATGCGGTGAATGCCTTCATTGCATTAGACAACCGCGAATTTGCTCAAACATGTTTAGATTGGTAAAAAAAAATTATAAAGTAGGTATTTTGAGAATTTTTTTAACAATATGTATTGTGGGGAAAATTCCAGCAACATTTTAAAGTGTAAAAATTAGGATATCTTGTTTGCTCGCTACTCTCTTGCTCTCGTCTCTTTGCAGCAACTCACCAGCCAAACCCCCTAATGGCGGCGGCTACCAAAACCTTCTTCACGCCTCTTCCTTCTCCCGGCGCCGAAACCCTAATTCCCCCAACCCTCAAATCCCCGAATCTCCACTACATCCCACATTCTTCGGCCAAGCGCCTGCCTTCTCTGACCATCAGAGCTTCCGCCGCCGCAGTTCCCTCCCCCTCCGACGGCGCATCGCATCCCAAGTCCCCCGAGCAGTTCAGGGTCGAGATCCTCTCCGAATCCCTCCCCTACATCCAGCGATTCAGGGGCAAAACAATTGTCGTCAAGTACGGCGGCGCCGCCATGAAAGACCCGAAGCTGAAGGCCTCCGTCGTCAGCGACCTCGTCCTCCTCTCCTGCGTCGGCCTCCGCCCCATCCTCGTCCACGGCGGCGGGCCCGAGATCAACCGCTGGCTCAAGCAGCTCAACATCGAGCCCCTCTTCCACGAGGGCCTCCGCGTCACCGACGCCGAGACGATGGAGATCGTCTCCATGGTTCTCGTCGGAAAGGTCAACAAGGATCTGGTCAACCTCATGAACAAAGCCGGCGGCACCGCCGTCGGCCTCTCCGGCATGGACGGGCGGCTCCTCACGGCGAGGCCCAACCCTAACTCGGCCCAATTGGGCTTCGTAGGCGACGTGGACCGGGTCGACCCGACAATGCTTTATCCGCTAATCAACAACGGTCATATCCCGGTGATCGCCTCGGTGGCCGCTGACGAGGCAGGGCAGTCGTACAACATCAACGCCGACACGGTGGCGGGCGAGCTGGCGGCCGCACTAGGGGCCGAGAAGCTGATCCTGCTCACCGACGTGGCGGGGATACTGGAGGATAGGGATGATCCGAACAGCTTGGTGAAGGAGACGGACATTGAAGGGGTGAAGAAGCTGATTGCGGAGAAGAAGGTCGCCGGAGGAATGATCCCCAAGGTGAATTGCTGCTTGAGGGCGATAGAACAGGGAGTGAGGACAGCGAGCATCATCGACGGCAGAGTTCAGCACTCGCTCCTCCACGAGATCATGTCGGAAGAAGGGCTTGGCACCATGATCACTGCATAATCGGGATACCCAATGTTCCAAGTTGTAATGCATCTGAAACAGAGTTTATATATTTTTCCAGAGAGAACAAGTAATGAGAATGCTGCAGAACTTCATTTGGACAATGCTGTATGTGTTTCATTTCATACAAATGCCAGCGATTACGATCGCTCATGCTAGCAACGGGCAAGCACAGAAGAAAGACAACTTGGTCTTATATGAAATGGAGAGTTAACAAAGAACCATCAAAGCAAGCAAGAGTTAAAACATAAACAAAGGAGAAAAAGAGAGACAGTCTTCTGAGTTGCAGAGGCACAATTACAAGTATTTAGAAGCGAGGGAAAGAAGCATCAAAGTTTCCCACAAACTACTAACAAACTAGGAAAAACCCCCAATGCCACCATGAACTCACAAAAGCCAGCACCCAACCCACCCAGTCTAAAATGCTTGTTAACTTCCTCCCTCACCCTATCTGAAATAAACCCAAAAGAAAGAAGAAAAAACTGATACATACACATTCATCAAATAGTTCCATACTGCTTCACTTTTTTATACTTTCCCTTTCTTTCTTTTTGTGGCTTCTCTCTCACTTTTTCAGTGGTGTCCGCATTTTCTTCACTTTTTTACCATGTGTCTAGTATCCTGGCGGGTTCAGTCAATTGTCATGGGCTGGGTCATGCAACATCTGAAGCGCGCCTTGCGGACTGTGGTCATGATCTCGGTTTCTGCATCTTCAAGCATCCTGACAATGTCAGCAAATGGAGGACGGACCTCAGGGTTTGTATCCCAGCAGTGGGTCATGATCTCACTCAGCACAGGCAGGCAGTCGTTTGGTATAACAGGCCTCACCCCTTTGTTCACCACAGCAAATGCTGCTTGCACTGCTGTCATGTTCTGGAATGGAAGCATCCCAGTTATCAGCTCCCAGAGCACAATGCCAAAGCTGTACACATCCACCTTTTGTGTGTAGGGGCGGTGCTGGATCATCTCCCTGCACAAAAATGACAATTTCAAAACCCATAATCCAAGATCATTCGACTTACGCGTATCCTTTTTAAATAGGTGTGCCAACTATAACAAAGTTACACATGGACTTCAAGCAGCACTAGTGAACCAATCAAATCCAATTACTTCAAGAGCTACACAACAATCTTCCAGTAAACAACCTTGATCAGAAAGTAACAAATCAGATAAAAAAGTTGCATACAACTACTAACTAGGAACAGCAGACAGTCGTAAGCTGGTCTCCTGCTATCAACTAAAAGTCAGCAGCAGATTTTCATTGGAAATATTCTCACCAATCACTGACATGCAACAAGGTAGCATGAAAGACCAGCATGACCATTGCAATGGTAGTTAGTATCTTTGATCCTTATTTAATCGTTTATTCTGAGCAGAACGTCTTTCATCTTTGGCAACAATTTGTGTATAAGGAACGTCAAAACAAACAAATCTATTGTCTCACACATACAAATTTGATGCGACAAAGATGGAAAATAGTGGTCACAGAATAACCATTTTCCTCAATATACAACCGCTGGTTCACAGCTCAGAGTTCACAATACCACTCCAGCAGCGACACTCTTGGATAAGGAACAACACTTGCATCATAAGTATTATTACTTTTTCTGTGCATCCTAGGAGGACTAACCAAATTCCGGCCACAAATTTGCTTTTAAGCATCAAATAAGGCAAAAGGACAAGTCGAAGTGGCATAAACTCCCTACTGCTGCAGACTTTAAGATTTCATGTTTGAAGAACAGTCAAGACACACTTACCGACAAACTACACCAAAAGTGAGGCATTTCAGTTTTTATTTTTTATTTTTATTTGGTAGAAGCAGATCTAAATTTCTGACAGCGCGTATAGTAGTTTCCATGAGAGCACACATCTAGGGATACCCCTGCCAAAACTGGTCAGTAAATTATTAGATCCCCGAGATTGGAGAAACTCAAGTCAAGTCACCCCCTTGTTTTCCTTCACTTCTTCTTCATATTCTCCTCCTCTCTCCCTATACCTCTGTCTCTCTGCAGGCCCTCCTCTCTGTCCTTAAGATTCAAGCCATCTCTACATATGGACTATGACTCCTTAACAACATGATGCAGGCCACAAAAGTTTCCTTGTGCATCTCTAACAGTATCAGACAAACATAAAACTCATCGAAATGTAGGAAGAGCCAAAGAAAGGAAAGAAAGAAAGAAAGAAGAAAAAAAGTAATATGCACTTGTGATGTCATACGGAGTCCATGAATGGCAATCACAATATTTTCAGACATCAAAAGTGAGATACTGTATATACTTACGGTGCCATCCAACGGTATGTTCCAGTTTCTGGAGTCATCCCCTCAGTCTGCACCTCAATCCTTGCAACACCAAAATCAGCAATTTTTATAGACCTATCAGCTGCAATGAGAAGATTATCCGACTTAAGATCACGGTGTATGAAGCCAAGACGGTGAACATAGGCCATTCCTCTAGCAACATCCAAGGCCTGCTTGACTGCCAACTTCAGTGGCACAGACCTATTCTGCCTCCTAGTCAGAAACTGGCGTACTGAACCTCCCTTAGCATACTCCGTGACAATACACCAAACCATCGGCTTACGGCATGCACCAATAAAACGGACAATGTTTGGATGCTTTAAGGTTGCAAGCATCATGACTTCTTGCTGAAACTGCTGTTCCATCACTTGTGCCTTCTCAGGGCTATTCTCTGGCCTCTCCAATATCTTGATTGCAACATCTTCCCCATTGTATGTCCCTCTATATAGCTTACCAAAAGCACCTTGGGCAAATGCCATACCCATGTTGAGTTTTCTCAGATCAATAGTCCACTCATCGTAATTGGCCAATCCTTCAGTTGGATATCTAGAATCCATCAGCGCCTGAGCTAAAGCATCATCATTCAGTGCATGGCCAACCCTTCCTGGGCGAATCAAACTATGGCCAACAGTTCCACCGTAGTTGTGGCTCACAGGTTTTAAACCAGGATGGCTTAAAATGTGGGTTAGAGAATCATTGGAACCAACGCTACTGTTATCCACTGACATCGACACAGAACCACCGGCATTGCTTGTCTGTAAACTGTCAATGGACATGTTTGTACCTTCGCCCAGTTTATGGTAAAACCCTTGCGTCAAATCGTAGTAGTTGTTATCATTGTGGTTGTTCCCCCCTATAAGACCGGTAAATTTGGGGGGCTCCATTTTACCAATCATGGATGTAATTCCTTGACAGAGGAGTCGGCAAGAGAAATCACCCTGTAGCCTTAATCCGAATGGTCAATCACAGACCCGCCTGCTGCAACGTGTCCTGAGAACAAACAGTTAACAATAATTTGGTTAAAATCAGCATCATCAGTCAACTGAAAGAAGAAAAATGTAACGCTTTCTTCAATCAACTGGACCAAGTCGAACCGAAGTAAACAGCCGCCGAAAGAGGTCTTCAACACACTTACTTTCACTCATTTCACCCACGCCCGAGCTTCTTACAGGACAAATATAACTAGCAGATATAATCATCACCACAAAACTAAGGAACCAGCGGGTGGGATAAACCCAAGAGAACACAGTATTTGGTGTACAAATGTGAAATGTCCTCAAAATCGAGAAACTGGAGACAGCCCGAAAAGGAAACAAACCAAAATCTCAAACCGGAATACCTTTGGATACAAATTAGGAAAAGGTGCAATTAAAAAGCAGCCACACTCCTGAAGCTCATTCCCTTCACGAATTCATTTCACCATCTGCACCAAAGCAATTCATCAAAACAGAACCTATCCCACAAAAGGAAATCCCATTACCCAGAACAAGAAACCCACCACATAACCCAAGTCTTGCAAACAATTCAACCCTCCCAAAACCTTCAAATTCGAAGCATTCCAGCCCCAAACTTTCAGATATCTCAACGATTCTCCGAAGGGAAGACCAACTACCCGGTCAACAAAGAAAAAAAACCCTCGAAAGAACCTCAAAGACCCCCCAAACCCACACACCACAATCATAGATCAGGCAATCAAAGCAGCTCAGCACCCAAAACCCGACACCGAAATAACATACAGAGCATCCAAATTCCACCGGAAACAGCCGATCAACCCCAAAGTAAACTCAGAAGTAGAAACCAATGGAAAGGACGGCAAGAAAGACCGAGGGAGGAAAAAGTAAGAATCCGTCAAAGATGCTGACCTGATTTCCCCGTCCGAGAAGCTCAGAAGATAACGAGAAGGGAACAGAAGAAACACGAAAGGCAGGCAGAGATGGATAGAGAGAGAAGGAAGTCTGCCCCGAAAACGCACCAATTTTTTTAACGAAAAAAAAAAAAGAGAGAGAGAGGAGAGGGAACGCAGTGAAGACGAAGAAGGAAGAGGAGAGACAAGATGAGAGCAGGGAGTCTTCGCTTCTCTCTCTCATTTACTTTCCCAAGCCTCGTTTTTATTGTGACTGGTTCTTTCCCCACTCGCGAAGGACCGAGTGGTATTCCACTCGCTGCAGTTTCACTACACGTGACGGAGCTAGGCCTTGGAGCTCCCTGGCGTCCTCTAACAACGCGTGTGAGGGACGTGGACTCTACAGCTTCACCTCGACGCGTCTTATAGTTTTATCTTTCGTCCTTTCCTTTTTTTTTTTCCTCCTTCTTTTTCGTATTTAAATATTTGGATAGAACATTTTTTTTTCGTTTTCGTTTTCTGTTTCTGTCTCTTTCCGTTTGGTAGAACAAAATGGCTAATGGTTTGGTACTTATTTGGTAAAAATACCTCCGTTAAATTTGAGAATTAGGATTAATCAACAATATCACACAAGTTTGACTAGGCGAGGAGTATTAAAGTCGCCAAAAGGTGTATCAGAACGCATGTTTTATATTTATCTATGTCAATTCGAAATTCAAAGTCTTTGGTGGCTCAAATTCGTAGGCAGGCTCACGAGCCGAGCTATTTCTTGTGTGTGACACAATCGATCACAATTCATAACGAGGACGTTTGTTTTTCTGCCATCGATACAGGCCCCTAAGCTTTTCTATGTTTAGTAGCACCATCTTGTGAAGAATCAGTAATTTGAATATGGTACTTTTAATTACGATTTGGTACCCAAAACTTCAAAACATCCAAACTATATTTCAATAAGTATTATGTAATATAAAAGTTAGAAAACCTTCTAAACATAGTATTACAGTATTACTGGAATGACAAATGAAAACTTTTCAATAAAATTAATAAATTAGTAAAATTAATAAACAAATATCAAGGAGGAATAATAAATATAATAAAATATAATAATAAATATTAAAAATCAATATTATAGATCTATTAAAATCCCTAATCCAATTAGAAGCATCACTAAAAATAGTTAAAATAGAACCTAATCGACCATCAATTTATCAAAACCAAAGAATGATAAATGAAACACAATCAGAAAGAATTATTCCAATAATTGAAAAATTTTAGAACGAAACTAGAAGGGAAGTAACCAAGTAATAAGTAAAATAGAAAAGCTACAACGTTCAGTAACAAATTTAGAAAGTAAATATGACTATAGGAAGAAAATTAGAATTAGTAAATTTAACTAATATGGAACATCTATAATATAATATTATAAAATTACAAGGAAAATTAACATGCAAAATGAGATAACATCTGCATGATTTAAGAGAACTAAATATAAAATCCTCAGATTATTTATAACAAAACAGACTTCATAGGATATATTTGCTTAAGGGAATAATTCAATTATTAGAACACATAATGATAATTGATTCTTAATTTTCTATTCAAAAATTGGTTTGATATCAGAGTTTTCAAAAGAGGATTTCAACTAAACAAAATTCACAGGATATATTTGCTTCAGGGAATAATTAAATTATTAGAACATAATGATAATTGAAAATACTTATAATGATAATTGATTCTAAATTTCCTATTCAAAATTTGTTTGGTACCACAGTCTTCAAAAGAGGATTCCAAACAATGAAAAATGATGTTTTTCATAAATAAAAAAGATTTTTTTTACAATAATAAAAGTAGAAGGATGAATTCTAAAATTTAAAAAACAAAATATTCCATGAATATTCTGTCAACTTTAACGGAATGCACCTAAACTAAACTTAAGTGGTACTGGGTGCACATATAATAGAGTTCAGTTGCACATGATGTCCTATTATTACTTGAGTAGTATGGCTACCCTAATTCTCAAATTTAAGTAGACATTTTACCCCTGGTATTTATCAAACCTTTTATTTGGGACCAATTGCATACAAATACCACAATCCATATACCATAATAACTGTTATTTGCTATGTGATATTTGTATGAAATATCATGTTTGGATGAATTATAAGAAGTGGTTGGTGTGCTATTATCCTATGCAGTTATTATTTGGTATGTGATATTTGTATGAAATATCATGTTTGGATGAATTATAAGTAGTGGTTGGTAATGCTATTATCCTATGCGGTTATTATTTGCTATGTGATATTTATATGAAATATCACGTTTGGATGAATTATAAGTAGTGGTTGGTGTGCTATTACCCTGTGCAGGCTGTGTCAATCCAAACTTCAAAGTCTAAATAACTCAATAAATAATGGTTTATGTCAAAAAATATATGCTTAAGAGGTGTTTTATAAACATTTCTTTTGTGGTTGGAATCTGACCGTTGATATCCCTGCTCCTTGCAAAGATGAGGGGATTGGTGAAGAACTGAGATAAATAAAGGAACTAGAAATTCATTACGGCCATGCTTAAAAGTTAAAACAATTTGGACTGTACATGTTGTGTCCAGTATAATTCCCAGGTCATGTGGTTTTAACTTTGAAGAGAGAGGAGAAAGGGATTTAAAAAAAAAAAGAGTTATAGGTAAAATATGTCTTTCTACTATGATGATTTATCAAATATATCTTCTAACTATTTTTTACATCAAACATGTCTATGTACTTTGAAAAAATTATC